TGTGTAAATACATATTTTACATGTGCGTGCACTTACACACCTGTCCTGTTGATGAAGTGGGATCGTGCTGTGCATTTTACTTGTAGCCATTTTCTAACCGACCATTTCTCACAGCGGGGGAGTGCTCCGTGGTGGGGCTGCACGGGGCTGCAGGCCCCACGCCTGGCCCCACCGCCCAGGGCTGATTCCAGGCTCCCAACCTCAGGGGCTGAGCTGGCGGGGCCACGGGCCGGAGCTGGCTGGCACTGTCCGTGGGTGGCCCGGGGACCGCCTGAGTGCAGGGCTCACCACCGTGGGGGCCTGACGATGCCGCTTGGGGCACTGGCACCCACTTCCCACCGAGCACCAACAACACAGGGATCCTGGTGTTCAGTCCTCAGCAATCGGTGGGGGGGAGGGGGGAGCCGTACCTGTGGGGATCTGTCCCCTGCGTTCCTGTCCACCCACCACCTTCTATGGGCCTTTGAATCGCCCTTCCCTGCTCCACCCTGGTCCTGTCTGCCTGCAGGGCCGTCACGGACCCAGGGTGTCGGCCCTCGGCCTCCCTAGCCCCCACCACGTCTCAGAGGCTCTCTCCCATCCGCCTGTCCCCTTGCAGGTGTAGGTTCGGGGCTGCAGAGACACGGAGCGCGTCCAGGCACGCAGACAGCCAGGCTGTCCCAGCGGCTCCCTTCACTCAGACGGTCTCCTCCAGCCCAGAGGACTCTCCTCTGTCTTTGGCGCCTTTCCTTTTCAGCTGCGTCACCCCCCTGGGGTTCTCGTGGGTATTTTGTGCGAGGGAGGCTCCCGCGTGGCTTCCCGCGAGGGGCAGAGTCAAGGCCAGGCCCCCGCCACTCTGTGCTGCGGGCCCCCCCTCACTCTCTGGCGGGGATCTGCGGTCTCGGCCATGCCATCCTGCGAAGCACTGAGATGCCAGTCAGGATGGCCCCTTCTTCCAAAGCGCGGTGATAGTGACGGTGACCCCGCTGACTTCAGGTGGTGCCTCCGGGTGCCAGCTCCGTCAGGCTGTGCCGCCATCACCATGGCTGACCTCAGGACCGGCCGGGTCAGGGGCACTGGGGTCACTGTGTCACGAGTGGAAGGACACAGGGCAGTGCCTCAGGCACAGGCACCTGTGGGCCTTCCGGCCGAGCCTCAGCCTGGCAGCCTGGCAGCGGCCAGGGCTCTGCGGGGGAGCAGCGTGGGGGGGTGGGGGGCATGCGCGCAAGCACCTTTGTTGTGGGAAACCCCTCGTGCGACCGGGAGCTGAGAGGCCCCACGATCGGCCGTCTCCCCGCTGGAGACCGGGGGGGGGCTGGCGCTGGGACTCCGTCTGGGCCCGAAGCTCTGAGGCCCCGGAAGGAGAGGGCGCAGGCCCCAGCCCGAGGGCGGAAGAAGATGAGACCAGACGCCCCAGCTCAACACGGAGACGGAGAAAGGGGGCGAATCCTCCCCCTCTGTGTCCCATTCAGGCCTTCGACGGGTCGGGTGAGGCCCCCCGCCCTGCGGAGGGCGGTCTGCGCTCCTGAGCCCCCGGGGTCGCGTGCTGACCCACCCGGGACCTGCCTCGCAGACACGCCCAGGGACGTGGCTGAGCCACTGGCCAGTCCAAAGTCAGGACGGCTTGGTGGCCGGACAGAGGCCCCTGCCTGTGCAGGCCCAGAGTCTGGGCTGGCGGAGCCCGGGCGCACACCCAGCTCCGAGGGCCCGTCCACGTGCCAGCCTCCTCAAGGAGCGGAACCCCACTCTCTGGCGGGGGTCTGAAGCCGAGCAGCCGGACTCAGCGGCACCTCTGGGAGGGTCCCAGGGCCTGCGAGCAGGGAGGGCGGGGCGCTGTCCCCACGGGCTGTGGGGGGAGGGGGGGGAGCAGCAGCGCTGCCTCCTGCCCGGCTCCACTTCAGAAACTTTCTCTTTTTTCCCAGGAAACGGAGGGTCTACACCTGCGTTTAATGCTTCTTTAGAAATCATTTTCCCTGCCCTGAAAGCATTCCTTGGCCGGGGATGAACATCCAGGAACTGTAACCCTCCTGGCGCCGCAGTGCCCACAGCGGCCGGCAGGAGCCGGAGAGCCAGGGTCTGCAGAGGTGGGCCCCTGGGTGCGGCCTCTGTGAAGCCTGCTGATGAATGGGGCGGTAATTCGAGTCATGCCTCGTTCGTCAGTTCCCGGGGTGCAGACCCATCCGGGCCACCCTCCGGCTGCCAAGCCTGTCCCTGAGCAGGGGGCGGGCGAGGGCAGAGGGCGCGTGGCCCCCACGCAGACACCACAGAGGGGCATGGACCAGCGAGGGGTCCTGAAGTTAGTGGGAAGGGGGCTGTGTAGCTGCGACCTTGTTTTTCATGCAACTTCCTTGGGCGCAAATTCACATGATTTTATTTTTAATCATGGGTGTGAATTGGGGCTTGTGTCTTCTGCAGTCTTCTGTTGGGTCCTTTCCTTTTTATCACTGACTTGTAAGAAGTTTTAATGGGTTAAAAATTAGTCTTTCCGTATGTCGGTGGCCATTTCCCCCCAGTGTGTGGCTTGTTTATAAAAGCCCTCTTTGCTTCAAGATGATAAACTATTTTTCTGATTTTTTTAGAGATTTTATAGTTTCATATTTCATGATTAAATTCCCGTTCCATCTGGAAGTTATTCTGGTGCCAGGAGTGAAGTAAAGAGTCAAAGGGAAAAGAAATGGTCGATCAGTTGCCCTGGCCAGGTGGCTCGGTTGGTTGGAGCGCTGTCCGGAGGCCCCAGCGGGTGGTGGTTCCGACCCCTGGTCGGGGCACGTATGGGAGGCGGCCAATGAGTGTCTCTCCCTCTCTCCCTCCCTTCCCTTCTCTCCAGAATCAGTGGGCACGTCCTCGGGTGAGGATTCAAAAAAACAAAACAAAACAAAACATTTCATCCTGCCCTGGCCGGGGTGGCTCAGGGGACTGGGTGCCGGCCTGGGAGCCGAAGGGTCACTGGCTTCTCCACTGGAGGACATTCTCCCCCGTGCTGTGCTCTGAAGCCCGCTTGGTCTGGGTTTCAGCGTTATCTTATTCCTCCCCCGTCTCCCCTGAGCCTGCTGTGCGTTTGTCTGCGGCGGCAGCTCCAGGACCCGAGGTCCTTTGCGGCTGACTGCTCGCCCCCAGCCCGTGCTGGCTCCTTTCCTCCCTCTGTGGCGACCCTGCCCTGCCTGGGCTGGGGCGGAGGGGGCAGGCACCCCAGGGGACCGCTGCTGCTCCCAGCAGCCAGCCCCCCAGGGCCCTCCCAGCCAGCAGCTCCGGGACCACGTGCTGGCTCGGGGCTCCGAGGCTCCGAGACCACACAGCAGCGTGGGTTTTAGTGCACGTCTGGCTGAGGGCAGGCCCGGCCCGGACTCCTGGGGCGTACTTTACCCTCCAGAGCACCAGCCGAGCAGACCGGCATCCTGGGGCTCCTGGGCCAGCGCGGCCCTTTCCTGAGGCTGGCTCCGCGCTATCCCCAGTCCTCGGCTCGGCCACCATCCTCCCCATGTCAGTGACCACCCCTGGTTTGTGCTCCCATTGCCTGGAAGCCCAGCGTGTGTGCTGGTCGGCCGGCCCCAGTGGTCTCCCCGGCAGGACGTAGGCCCACGAGGGCAAGACCCGGTCCCGCTCTTCTTTCCTGGGTTCCCAGGGATTGAAACCGGCTGCACCATCGTTTACGAAAGGAACAAAGGACCGAGTGTGTGGACCTCGGACTCCTCTCTGTGAGGGTCACCTGGGCTGTTTCATCAGGCGGCTCCCGAGAGAACTTCTAGCTCCTACGGTGCACCAGCAGCCGTGGCGAGAGGGCATCTGCTGCACACCAGCCACTTAGTAGGCACCCAGGGCAGGTGCCAGATGGCCGTGACTCCTGCAGCACAGGTGCTCATCAGGGTGCGCAGGTGCCCGGGACAGGCCCCTGGGGGCCTGTGGACCATTGACCCTGTGTTCCATGCCAGCAGATGGGTAGCTGGTAGCACCCTCAGGGTGAGTCCCCACACCAGTGCAGCCCCTGCAGCAAGGGCCTGCATCCCCGCTCCACCTGCGTGGGGGTATATCTGACACACCCAGGGTCTGGCGCTCCGATTGCTCCCCACGTGCCTGTGCTGTGCCAGGAGCATGCAGGGGACCCTGGCCACAGCTGTTCCTCTCCTGGAAGAGGACCGCCGCCCTGGCACTGCCTCTGATCACTGTGCAGGGCATTTCTGTCCCTCCCTTAGTGACGGCGGCCCAGCCCCATGGGGGTGGATGTGACACAGGCCACATCCAGGGGTTGCTGAAGCTGTGTCCATCTTCCAGGAGCACGGACCAGACAGGGACTTCTCCGTCAAGGGCAGCTTCCTCCACCTGCTCCAGAAAGGAGAGGAGGCTCCGCAGTGCTGCGGGCTGTGGTGGGCTGGAGCACACTGAAGCGTCCAGCCAGCCGACAGGCATCTGGGCTCTACAGGAGGCCCTGGCCACTCGCCCCACCAGCTTGAGCCACGCAGAGGGCGGCGACCGTGCACAGGAGCACACAAGCCTCCCCATGTGAGCGTGGCAGAGGGCCCGAGCTGGCAGCCATCTCCGTGTGCATGAGCCTGCTGCGCGTGAAGATGCTACTGCCATCCCTGCACCCCGGAGTGGGCCTTGTGGTCCCAGGGCCCACTGCTTGCCTGCAGGGGCCAGACCTGCCTGGTGCCACAGCACACCCCCATGCCTGGGTGCATCATCTCAACTCAGGCTGAAGAGACCAGTGAGCTGCCAGAGCCCCTACCTGCCAATGGAGGGACCCCCCAGTGACAATGGTTGGGACCCCAGGAAAGGGGCTGCAAGCCTGGACCTAGCACCCGAGAAGCTGGGGCTTCAATACAGCTGGAGTCCTATTGCACCTCTGGGAAACCTGAGGCTTTAATTCATCCATTTTTTTTAAAGATTTTATTTTTAGAGAGGGGAAGGGAGGGAGAAACAGAGGGAGAGAAACATCAATGTGTGGTTGCCTCTCACACGCCCCCTAGTGGGGACCTGGCCCACAACCTAGGCATGTTCCCTGACTGGGAACTGAACTGGCCACCCTTTGGTTCCCAGGCCAGTGTTCAATCCACTGAGCCACCCCAGCCAGGGCTGAAGCTTTAATTCGTTTAGAAATGAGGCAGGCAGGTGGCACACAGTCAGATTCTCACAAAGGTTTTCAGGGTGCCCTCCTGGAATCCCAGGGCTCTGGATGACACTCTCCTCTGACGTCCAACCCAGCCACACCCAGCAACCACTATTGTCCAGGGAGGTTCCTCTTGGAGCAAGTTCTTGCCTTAAAGAAACAGCCACCAGAAAGACCAGGTGCATGCACACATTTGGCGGGGTGGGGGGGGGTGTCAACCCATGCCAGGCTCTCTGGGAGGGGCATCCTCCCCACTGTCACAGCATCAACCTGGGACCCACAGTCCCCTGGAGGAAGATGAACAGAGTCATCTTCATGTACAGAGGGGAACAATGCAAATACAAGCTTCTGGCTAGAAAAGTGATGCTGATCACCAAAGCAGTATCTGTCCACTGCGGAAGTCTGGAAAAGCGAGAAGACCCCAGTCTCACCCCCACTGACATTCCGGCGTCTGCACGGCCCACCTGGAGAACAAATGAGCACACAGGGTGACAGGCACAGTGTGCACGGTGTGTCTTTGTGTCTGCGTCCCTGCCTTGCACAACAATGTAAGCATCTTCACCATAGCAGTGGCTTGGGGTGGGGAGGCCATTCAGGGCCAGACTGTGTGGGTCTCCACCCTGGCTCCTCTCCTTAGCAGCTGCATAATCTCCTGTGCCTCAGTTTCTTCAACTGTCAAATGGGGATGGGACAGGCTGTCATGCCCAGGAAGGTCTCACAAGGGTGCCTGGTGTGGAGGAAGGGCCCAGCTGCACTGTGGCCGGCCGGCAGCTGGTGTCAAGCCTCTGTGTGCTGGGCTTGGTCACCCTGCTTCTCATTTCACAAACACCCCCCCCACGCTGTACTCGATGCCCGGGTGAGATGCTGGTGCAAACAGACACAACGTCAGGCGGCCCATTCATTTGACCACCTCGCGCTGTCCCCCAGCGCCACATGCCAAAGGCTGAGATCAGTGGGTGTCTGTCTCCTGTTGTCACCAAAGGCAGTCAGTCCTCCCCAGAGACTGTGCCCTGCCCTCTGAACGCCCCCATCTCGTAGGTATGAGACCTACAGGTGCTAGTGGCAGGAGCAGCAATGTGCAACGTAAGGCAACACCCAGTCAGCTGGCCGAGCTGGACGGACCCTGGTGCTGTCGGTTGCACCACCCAACACGTGGGAAACACAGACTCTCTTGTTCTCTCCAAAGCAGCTTTAAGCAGACGCAGCTGTTTTCGCTCCAGATACCAAGTTACAGCTGGAGGCTGGGAGGGATCCTTTGTCGGAGAAAGGGCTCCCAGGGGCTCTGGGATGCGAACCTGGAGGCAGTGGAAGGAAGTCGACTTGACTTGTTTCAGTAAAACTGCTTCTGGACAACAGGACGGGGGCGGGAGAGGAAAGCATCTGTGTCACACTGTGGATACAAAGAAACAGAAGAGGTGCCGGCAAAGCTTTTCCTAAATCTCAGCATCTGGTGACTGACCAGAACCACTGCCAAAAGGATGGGGGGAAGGGACTCCTCGGCCCCCAAACCCAGAGGTCCTTTACTAGGGCCTTTTCCCACCTTCACTGCCCTGTGGGCCCAGTGGGCAGCTCTGCCAATTGCCTGCTACTAACCTGGATCCCCAACTTCGCTGTGAGCCGAGGTCAGAAGCCGCTCCTGCCCCAGACATTTGTTCTCCATTGTCTAGTGTAAAAAAGGCAGAAAGGGTGTCGCTGGACAATAAGGAGACTCGGAAAGAAAGAGAACACGCCAGAGGGGATTTCAACCCCACACTCTGGGCTTGAAGGGCTCTCCTGGCCCCCCCCCCCCGCCCCCGCAAGCAGAAACCCCTCTGGCGCTTCGCCCCCCAGCTGCATGGCGTCCCTAGGCCGTCCTCCAGGCCCTGCGGGGGACGAGAGGCAGGCGCAGGGGCCCGGTGGTCTAGGGGGTTCCTGGGGGAGACACAGGGAACAGTAGGGGACAGAAGGGTACCAGGGGACACCGGGAATGCGCGAGAGCCTTGGAGACTCCGAGGACGCGCAAGAAGCCAGGGTTGGTGCGTGGGGACAATGAATGCTCCTGGGAAGACTCGGGGACAAGGAAGCACGCTTTGTGGACTTGCCCCGCAGGCAGACCTGGATCGCGCCGGACCTCTCCCCTCCCGGTCTCCCCCGGGGGGCGGGGCGGGACGCGCGGGGAGGAGCCTGTGCGCAGGCGTCTGCGCGCGCTCCCGCGCGCTGTGGGAGGGAACGCCTGGCGCGGCGCCCGCGGGAAGGGAGTGCGCTAACCTCACTTCCGGCGAGAGCTCCGCGGGCGATAATTGGGCCTGAGGTGCTGAGCGCGCTCCTGTTCAGCCAATGGGCGGCGGCGGCGCGGTCGGAGCCCGGGGAACGCGCGGCGTGGGCGCGCCGGCGGGCGCGCGCGGGGCGGGGCGGGGCGGGGCGGCAGCAGCTTCGTCGCCGCCTGCGGGCCTGTCCGCCGCCCGCCCGGCAGTCCCAGCTGCCCGGCCGCCATGTGACCGCGCCGCCGCCCTCCGCGCGCCCGGCCCGCCCGCCGCCCGCCGCCGCCGCGCGTCCGCGGCTCGGCCGCAGCCCCAGGCCGCCGAGGAGCGGGTGGCCGGCACCATGGCCGAGCGGGGTCGTCTGGGCCTGGCCGGCCCGCCTGCGGCGCTCAACACGCCGGTGCCTATGAACCTGTTCGCTACCTGGGAGGTGGACGGCTCCAGTCCCAGCTGCGTGCCCAGGTACGCCGCCGCCCGGCCGGCCGCTTTGTTCCCGCGCGCACCTGCGGGCCACCCGGGGCCCCCACTCGGGACCGGCCACCCGGGACCTCGCTCTGGGTTCCCCAGCTGGGACCCCCACCCGAGGCCGTCCACAGAGACCGGCCATCCGGGGCCTCTGCCCGGTACCCGCTTCCTGGGATTCCACCCGGGATCTCGCGCCTGGGGCCGCGGCGTTTGCGCCCCTCCTTGGGCACGCACAAGCGTTCCTTGCGAGGAATCCCTGAGCCGGAGGGTGCCCCAGGTCCCGGTCTCCCGGGCTCTCACCTGGTTGGCTCCCAGACAGCGAGCGTCCTTGCGTCCTCCTATGGATGTTGTGTCCGGTGGAGTGCGCCTAGGGTGTCTCCTCTCTCCACCGGGCACCACAGAGTTTCTTTTGCATCCAGCCACACTGAAGTCTGAGTGGCCTGGGATTGACCCTCAGGGCACACTGTCCAGAGGACAAACAGACCTGGGACCACGACTGTTCTCCTTCACCCAGAACATCCTTCCCGGTAGCCCTGGGGGCTGGGGCTTCCCACTGTGCCTGCTGGTCTCAGGGCCCTTTCCCGTTTGCGCTGCGCCTGCAAATTTAGAGATACCTGCTTGTACGTCAGCACTACTCTCTGCATCATGCTGTCCATTCTACCACTGCAAAAGACACTCACCTCCCACTTGGGGAAGCCCCGTCCCCATGGTAACAGCTGGTCGAGGCTTCTCCACAGGCCCACCAGCCCTACTGTACTCGCACTCCTGACTTCCCTGTTCCTCCTGCTGGCTTCTTCCCCCTCCGAGGTCCCTGCTGCGGAAGCGCCAGGCTGAGGGGGAGAGACAAGCCCTCGCACCAGGGCCTGGTCCTAGGGTGGGCAGCCGGCCGCAGGGGCTGCAGGTGGGCTGCAGGGAAGAGCTCTCCCTGGGGAGACCTGCCGGCGGGGACCCCAGGAGTGTCCTCCAGCACTGGAGGGGCTGGTGTGCCCTGAGGGGGCCATGCACTCTGCCTCAGCTCCTTCAACAGGTGGGTCTGAGTGAGGTGCGGAGGGTGCCGGAGCGCAGGGCTGAGGCTGTGCACAGTGTGCGGAGTGGGCTGCAAAGCCACGCTCAGGAGCTTCTCCTCCGGCCTGCCTCCTCTCTCTTTCCGGTCTTGGCAGTTGCCCCGGGGTCGGGTCCCACAGCCAGGGGTCATCTTGGACCTTCTCCCCCCAGGCTTCTCCTGTCCCCTCTGTGCTGTCACCAGCACACCCTGGACCTCACCTGCAGCTGCGCTCCATCAGAGCTCCCCTCGTCCACACTTGCCCCTCCTGGCCGCTTGCCCACAGACACATTCAGTGTTCATGCAGCCTGACGGTCCGTGCCTCTCCAGCAGCTCCGGGCTCCGAGGAAGTCCGCAGCTTGTTAGCTGGGACAGGGCAGGGGGTGCGGGAAGGGCCGGTCCCCTGTGGGCCCTGCAGGAAGCCCACTTAGTGTTTGTGCAGGGACTGTGTGGGGCAGGAGGCAGGGGCCTGGGCTGGACAGCGCTGGCTGTCTGGGAGCTGCTGCTTAGACTGGGAGCCCGCCGAGTCCCCTCCCCGTCCTGGGAGGTGGTTCGACCCCCTGTTTCTCTGGAGTCCTTGCCAGGCTGGTGGTGCTCTGTGGGGACTTCTGTGAAGGGGGTTACATTTTCTCTGTTCTCGGTTTTGCCTGATCTCTTAAGTCTCTGAGTAGCATCCGTGCTGATGTCGGCCCCTTCCTCGTGGTGACCCCGTCCCATAGTGGCGTGCATCTCTCCCCTGCCCTGGTCTTTTGGCTTGTTTCCAGGCTTGGCCAGTTCATGATCACCTGCTGTCGGCCTCTGGTCCCTGTCTCCAGTGGGCAGGTGGACCCGCGGAGAGCACGTGCAGCCAGTGGGGCTGGGCGGGGGGGCGGTACGCCCAGTGTTACTACCAGGCAGCTTCCCAGAGCGTGGTGCCAGCTCCGGCCCCCTCTGGCGTTCTTGCCAGCACTGCCTGGCTTTTCATTTTTGCCAGTCTGGTAGGTGTGAACTGGTATCGTGGTTTTCACTTGAATCTCTCTGGTTGCTCATGCAGGCCATTTGTACTTCCTCATCAGCGAAATTCCTCTTTCTTTCTTCTGCCGGTTTGCTTTCTCCTTTCCCGCACTTGACTCTCAGCAGCATCTTTGGGGGTAGCGACCCTGTTTTGCCTGAATGTGCGCCCCCCCCCCCCTCCAGGACACGGTGTGTTCTTGGTTTCGTGCAGCCTGTGGTCCTCCCCAGCATCATTGGCCTCATCTCTCTCCTGCTCCCCCCTCTCAGGGGGCAGGCAGGCTGTTTCGTGGATTTCCTCGTGGTGACACGGCGCTCCTCCCTGTCGACCCTGACCTTTCTGCCGCCTCCTGCTGCTGGGGCCCCCTGCCAGAATCCCAAGGCGGCCTCCTGTCCCCTCCTGTCTGGGCCTCCTGAAGGGTCTGGGGCACTTCAGACAGACCCTTGCACTTCCCACTGTTGAGGTTCACAAGTTGTTAGTATCTGAGGTCGGACGTCTGTTCACCTGCTCTTGCTCCCGCATGTTCTGCAACCTCCTTGTTCACCCCTTGGTTCGTGTGAGGGGTCATGTATATTCGGTGTACACACACAGAAGGATCTTCAGGTGGAGGTGTGAATTTTGACAGCTGCGTGCCTGTTTTTTTAGGAAGGTTGCGTCTCAGCTCAGCACCCCAGCAGGTCCCCTGCATCCTGGGCTTCAGGTCCGCAGGCCGGCAGGCAGCTCCTGGGCCTGGACTGGCCCCTCCAGACTGCAGCCCAGGAGTCCTCCTTTCCTCGCCATGGGCTGCACTCCGTGTACACCTGCTCCTGGTGGTGGGCATCGGGGTTGTTCCTGGTCAGAGCTCCCGTGTTTAAAGCCACTGCGACCGTGTGGGCGCGGAGTGTGGGACAGTGTCTGCTCACTTCTCTTCGGCAGGACCTGGCCACAGGGGACTCGGGTGGCTGTCAGCTTCATAAGAAATGGCCCGTTTTCTGAAGGGTGGCACTGTCGTCCACTGCCACCAGCCGTGTCGCCTCCGTGTCATCCTCTTGTCAATGACAGTGATTCTGATGTCTGTGCAATGGCTGCTCCTTAGAGATTTATTCTGCACTTACTGTGAGAGGATACTGAGTATAATCACTTTAAAAAATGTTATGTCTTTATTCTAGAGACAGAGAGGAAGGGAGAAAGAAACATTGATCTACTGTTCCACCCACTTCTTTTTTAAAAAAATCATTCATTTATTTATTTATTTTTGGAGTGGGGGAGGGAGGGAGAAAGAGAGGGAGAGACACATCAGTGTGTGGCTGCCTCTCACATGCCCCCTACTGGGGACCTGGCCTGCAACCCAGGCCTGTGCCCTGATGGGGAATCGAACCAGCGACCTTTCGGTTTGCAGGCTGGCACTCAATCCACTGAGCCACACCAGCCAGGGCTGTTCCACCCATTTATGCCTTCATGGGTTGCTTCCGGTGGGCGCCCTGACCTGGGAGTGAACCCACAGCCTCGGCCCGTCAGGACGATGCTCTAACCAACTGGATCCCCGGCCAGGGCTCCTCTTTCAGTTGCTGAGTACGTAGAAAATGGAGAAAACACGTAAACGGGTTGCTGAGCGGTAAACTGACCCTGCGCCCTCAGACGCACTGTAGCGCCACCATGTGCGCACGTGCGTGTGTGTCTGCGACCGCACGTCCGTCTGCGACCCCACGTCCGTCTGCGACCCCGCGTCCGCGTCTGGGCCCGTGGCCCCGCCCCCTGCCGCCCACGTCAGGTTCCGGTGCCCAGACAGCGTGCAGAGCACGCTGAGGACGGCGTCGCCGCGCCGCAGCGGCGCTTGTGTGAAGTTGGCGTCGTGTGCGCCGTGAGCGTGGGGAAGAGACCACCCACCCGAGCCGCGGTCGCTCGGTGGGGAGATCCCCTCCCGGTTCCATTTGCTCGGGTAAAGAACAGGTTCTTCGCCCCTTGGGGTTAGGTTTGGAAACACATTTTTCTGGGAATTTGTCTGTTTTGTCTAGATTCTCAAGTTTATGGGCATAAAGCTGGTCACTCTGTTCTTTCACTTGTTCACTGCCCGCAGGGCCTGGCCGGCGTCCCCGGTGGCCCCTGCGTCCCCTCGTCGTGCAGGGAGGCGTCCGGCTCCTTAGAGCGGGGCTCGTCCCCCCGCCCCCCGTCCCTCCGCCCCCCACTCCCGCGGGAGGCCTGCCGCGGCTCGGCTCGTTGCTTTTCCTCCCCCCTCGCACAGCAGCACTCGCAGCTGCAAGGCGGGGCACGGTTTAGCTGCGTCTTACCTGCCTGTAGATGTGGAATCGTTCAGTTAAAAGTACTTTAAAGTTTTTCCACTATTCTTTCTTCAACGTTAACAGGGTATTTCAAAGTTTCTTCATATCCAAACGTATGGATTTTTTCCAGTTTATTTGCCATCGCCGGATTTGGCGCTTCTGTTTTCCGTCACTCAGTGGGGTCGTGGTCAGAGATGGCGGTCGGCACGACGCTGGGTCCTCGGGGCGCTGGGGCCTCGCTCTGCGGGGGGCTCGAGGCCGCGTGGGCTGACCAGCACGGGGCCCTGCTGGCCGGCCCGGCCTGCGGCGCCCTGCTCTCCGTGCCCCACGCCCCTTCCTTCATGCGCAGACCGGCTCTCTGGGGCGGCCCCACCGCGTCCCGCCGGCTGCGTCCTCGGGAGTCCTGGTTGTCGCGGACGCACAGGTTTGGACTCGCACTCGCTCCCTGGTGCTGTGGGCTTTGAGGGCCTGTGGCTCCGGACCGGGTGACGCTTTCTGCGTGGGCGTGGACGGCACGGCCACACGGCTCCGTGAGCGCCCTCCAGAGCGTCAGCCTCTGTGGCCCTCCCCCCGCCCTGTGTCCGCACACGTCCCGGCGTGCCTTCGGCCGCTCACCGCGAACCTGGAGTTCATTTGCGCGCAGGCTGCCGAGCTGCCGGCGTTCACCCGGAGGATCCGGTCCCCTGTCCTCTGTCCCTCCCCGTGACGTGGTCAGGTCTCCGTCTGCCCCCGCACCTCTGCGTTCACTGCTGTCCTGCAGGTCTCACCTTTGTTTTCTTTCGTGCTGCCTTGTTTTGCATCGATTTCTTCTTACTCCATTTCCCTAGTTTGCCGCTGCCCACTGTTTCCGTCCAGTGGCCACTCTGTGAACGGTGATCCCCGTCCTGGCTGTCGTGTTGTGAAGTTAACTCTGCCATCCCTCTCTCCCCGGGGTGCGGGGACCTCTGGGCTCGTCACGTTACCAGTTCTGCCCGGTTCACAAGCTTTCGTTTCACGGGTTTCTGCTGTCTTCATTCACTGCTCTGCCATTGGTACAGGGCGGGGGGGGGGGGCGGGGGGGGCTCGGAACACACCGCGCTCTCGTCTCCGTGTCTCTGTCGTCTCCGGGCGCGAGTCACACTCCTCTGCCGCGTGGCAGCGCATCCGCAGGGTCTGCTCCAGTGGGGACCTGCTGGCCACTGGCTGCTCTTTCCGCCAGAGGTGCCCAGCCTTGCTCCCAGGGTG